TCAGCGGTTCTGGGGCAACTCAGTATCTAGTGGGGGATAGATGTGATGGTGAAAGCCATCAAAACTGGGAGCCTAGTCATTCAAGATGGCCCAGGGTCCAGGGCAGGAATGGCATAAAAGTGGAGAGACAAGGGTAGATTCAAAGACGGTATAAAGAGTCAGGAATTGGGAAAAAATGGAGAAGGAAACTTCAGAATGAGCAGCCTGAGGCATGATAGATCGGAATCTGGAGGGAATATTTTGGTCATCATAAGACTCGTCTTAATCTCTTATGCATATTTATCCTTCTTCAATTGAAGCGCTGTGAGAAACTTAAAGCAATAATGTGCAAAACCCACAGTCTGATTCACAGCAAGATTTCAATTCAAGATCAGATTTCAATGTGAGAATCAGATTTTAGAGCAGCAGTCAGCACTCAGTTGTTCATTTGGTGACTAGAGGGCTAGGACCTCTGTGTGGTTGACCCTGGGCTCCACACTGGGGCTGTCACCGAACACTGAAAGAACTTAGTTTCCATTTCAATGTTTACCACAGTACCTAAGATCGCTCTTGTTCAGTAAAGTTTACATTACTAAAATCAATTTTGTTTTCAACAGGCTTTAACAAAACATTGAAATATTTGGAGATGAAAAAATACATCCTCATGCATCTGACGAGAATGAGCTTTCAATACGTCTTACTGAATATATTTCTTAGTTTAATTGTCCACTTTTCATTTGTCTCTTTTCAATAGCTATCTGAATATTTTCATACTTATTTTAATTAGAAAATGCATTTTGTAGGAAGCTGGGATTTATTCCCAAATAAAATGCTCAATCATACCTTCATGATTTCTTACAGATTTTCAGCTCTGCTTTTTATTTAGGAGGCAGATGTTGACATACATAGGCACAAGCCTTAGTTGCATGATTTCTTCAGTCCTTTTGTTCGAGTTTCTTGAAATACATACCTGCCAAATTTACTGCGCTCTAACCTCTGGGACTTGAAAACAAAGAAGGAATCAAAAAAAGAGTCCTTTTTGTTTCCAGAGCTGTATTGGGCTTTTATTTAGTTGAGGTTTGAGCCCTAAGTGACACTTCCCTAGTATGCATATGTGAGTAATTTGAATGAGAACAAAGAAGTTGATGTTGGTGGAGGTGCCTTGTCACACATCCTCAGCCTTTCATATTTAAAATATTGTCCAAATCTGCAAGAACAATATTGAATCCAATGTTAAGAATGAGCATTTTTTAGTTTGGTTAATTTCAATTCCAGGGGTGAAAGTGTGTGTGTGAGTGTGTGTGTGTGTGTGTGTGTGTGTGTGTGTGTGTGTGTGAGAGAGAGAGAGAAACAAGATAAAAAAATAGTAGATGCTTAATGATAGTAGTGGAAAAAATATAGAAATTGATAAGAAAGCAAGCATCCTGGGGTTTGTTTGAATCTGGAAGAGAAGGTAGGGGTGAAACAGATGGGTCATTAGACTTGAGGCTGTGACATTTGGAAGCCAGAGTTGCATTTTCTTTGAAACTGTGAATAAACAGCTGGGAAAAAATCTTAGCATGTTCTTTTCTGATACTGGTTTTATTCCATTTGACTCAGGGCACTGAAAAATAAGTGTGAGTTAAATTGTTTTGCAGCAGTTATTATTGTAGAATGTATTACTTTTAAAGATTTTGATATCTTATATTTGATTTCAATGTAACTGGGATTTAGGTTTATATACAAGCCTATTGAAAGACCAGGAATCTTTCTGAGGTTGTTGTTATGTATGTTGTTACATTAAACCTCCTGGCTTACATTCTGTATCATAGAATAATATTTATGACAAGTGTTTACACAACTGCATAGCATCCTGGTGCTGGAAGGGACTATAGGAATATGGAAATGAACGAAGATCAGACAAATGAGAGCAGGCAAAGCCTATTGATTCAGAGTTTGTTATAGCAAGGTCGTCAGCCACCATCACTTACAGTTGGCAGGAACTCGAAGGCAGGGAGATGAGTGGGGCGAAAGGGGAGTCTCTGTTATATGCCCCAAGTGGAGGCTGTTGGCATGGGGAAGTTGTGGGCAGCCCAAGTACAAGCAGACATCCTAGATGCCTGGGTAGAAGTGCATATTTGACTGTCTCTGGTGGACCTATGTGGGAACCAGGGGCAAAAATTTAGGATGCTGTCACTTATTAATCAAGTTCTAACTGTTCTGTGACAATTATTATGCAGTTAATGTTTGGCTTCCTGGATTGGCTGTTAGAGACAGTGGCCTGACTTCCTGTAAGTCAACTTTCAGATAGTAGGTTGGCTTCCTGGGCTCATTACTGTAGATAATGGGTGAGAGTTCTGTTTTTATATGTCGTCTGGAAATTTTCCATTTGTATATTCAGTCTTTCAGTGATTCTCTGGTCCAAAGGCAGAAAGATTAAATTCATAAAGGACAAATGGCTACAGTTTATTTAAATTAATACTACTTTTTACATATGTGGCTCTGTTTAATTTTTGAAATATTTAAAAATGTAGAATATTATTGGATCCTTCAAACTAAATTAGGGATATCAAACAGGGCTGATATTATCTCCATTTTGTAGTTAAGGTAAAGCAGGCTCCGAGAGGAGAGATGGAGGGCTCAGTGATGTGTCCCCAGCCCCTGAATGTGACCAGGGCTGTGAAGCTGGGCCTCTCAGATCCCTCACCCAGGGCTGCTGTTATCATCCAGCCTGACCCGCAGATTCAGATAATGGGGAACCAAAGTGGGACATTTGTATTACATTCTCTATTTGCATTATTTCACTCCTCAAATTTGATGAGTATTTGCATCTAAATATAAATAAGTCAAAATACAGGTTCTGTGAACCATTTCTGTAATTTTTTTTACTACAGTCTTTCTCAAAGATTCCTTATTTGAATTAAACTTTCAACATGGTGAAGTTTACAACTTGTGATTGTTATGTGATCCGATTTTTGAAAGTACTATTAGGTCTGTGCCACTTTAATACATTTATAACACTCGCTTGGTTCTCTTATTCTATTAGAAGCATTGCATTTCCTGCACACATCAGAAAGATGCCTGAGGAGTTGAGAAACCTACCGAATGAATAAATTAATTCAATACCTACTGAGCAATATGCTAGGTGCTGAAGGCACCCAATGGGAAAAAAAAGCAAAAAATGAAACTCAGTCTCTGCTTTCAGAAAACCCAGATCCTTTTGAGAAGAGCAGATTCACAGAGATGACCATCTCTCAGCACAGGGTGGTGATATGGGTAGGCAAGGCTTCAGAGGGGTCCTAAACTGAGTAGGGCTAAGGAGAATACACTGAACAAACACAGATATAAAGGTATTCAAAACAGGTGAGATAGGAGATACTAGCTATTGGAAACAGTATTGTTTTTGTTGGAGGGTCCAGGAAGGAAGAGGCTACAGCAATTTAGTGGTGTTTCTTGAATTCAGGTGGGAAGTGCTGAAGTTATACAGGGGGGAAGATTGACAGGGTGGAGTATCTTGTGGGTTATAAGAAGGAGCTTAGACATACTTCCGTGGGTAACTGGCTTCTGGAAGGATTTTAGTCAGGTAACATTCAGAACAAGTTTTTATTTTTGTTTGTTTTTGTTTTTAAGTATTCTCTCCATGCATCAGAGAGTTGCTGTCATATCAATTCCCTGCAAAAAACATGGATGTCAAAACAGGAAGTGAGTGACACTGTTAGGAACATCTATTTGAAACATGTCTCTATGTATATGACAGACTAGCTATTACATCAGTTCCCTGAAAAAATGCTCTTCTGAACATACAAGAGGTATCACTCACAAACCATATTTGCTACATGCGTGTTTAAACGCTTCTGTACATGTATTACAGAATGGCTATCACATCCATTCCTGAAAAAACACTTGTCTAGATTTGCATTTTAAACAGATGATTTAGGCAGTATATGGAGCTTATTCCTTGGGGAGTCAAGGACAAAATCTAGGAGACAAGTGGCAGTAATTCAAGGGCTATGACTAGAGTTTGAACCAAAGTAGTTAAAGTAAATATGACACAAAGTTCAACAAAAGGGAAAGCAAGGTATTCAGAAATAAAATCTGCCTAATCTATTGAGTGATAGGTTTGGGGAGCAGCAGTTAAAGAAAGGAGAGTCAAGCTTCTAGCTTAGACAGTTGTCTGGACAGGAGGAATTGGGGCCAGTTCAGTGTCTAAATGTTTAATTTGTGTTATCTATGGGGTATCCAGATAGATGCATCCGGCACATGGCTGGAAAAATGACTCTAAAGCTCAGGAGAATGATCCAGGCTTTTGATAAACTATTTAGAAATCACTAACAATCAGGTGAGTGCTAGTTGAATCCTGGTAGATAAAAATCACAGGAAGAGTAGCTATAGAATGAGAATAGTGACTAATTTAGTACCTTTGAGGCAACCAAGATAGAAAGGAGGAAGGGAAGGTATGAATGACACAGAAATGGTGTTAGGCATGGAACATGACACAGGCAGATGGGCCATTAGTGAAGCCAAGAGAATTGATGATATAAATAAGAGAGTAATCAGAGTCATCAAATGGCTTAAAAAATGTCTTCTAAATTTCCCAACAGAAATGCACTGGGTGACTTTAGCAGATGCAGTTTTAGTAGACTGGTTGGGCTGGACTCATGTCATTATAGGCAGGCTAATGAGTGGATGGAAGATGAGGAAATAAAACAAATAAGTGTGAAATGTTTGCTAAGAAGTTTCCTTGAAGATGAGCACAAGGGAAGAGCTATTAATGAAGATTCAGGATCGACTGAGGTTCTCCTCTTCTAATGAGAAAACTACTTCCTCACAGTATTAATTTGAGGAAAAAGTATTAATTTGAGTATTAACAGAGAAAAAGCCCTATGTTATCTCCATTCCTATTAAATGGTGTCATCTCCAATGCAGGTCTAAGTTTCCAATACTATATTGAAAACATTTTGGGAAAGTATTCTTTAATTTTTAAAGGAGTCTGGGGAGGATTTGACTTTCGTTTAACAGAATGTCATTCTGTTAATGCACAGAATCGACAGAGGAGCTCAAGGTCCGGAGCCACAGCACGGAGCCCTTACCAAGGCTGGACAGCAAAGAAAGAGGGCATCATGGGACGTCTCCCAGAGAGCCCATCAAAGCTCAGGAATGGGATGGAACACCAGGGCCACCTGTGGTCACCAGCAGACTGGGAAGATGCTCTGTGAGCCCCACCTTGTTAGCAGGAAATCACAGTTCAGGTAAGAAAGATAGCAAATGATCTCCCAGATGGTAATTCTCCATGCATCTAGAAATTTCTTTTATGCAGTTGTCACATAGAGAATCATAACCACAGATATCTCTTTCTCTATTCTTAAGGAAAGCGTAAAGTAGCTCTTTACACAAAGGGCTCTGATGACCTTTTGTGCCCCTCCACGGAGCCTCATTCACAAGGACCCTAGAGAAGTGGATGGTGCTTCATGGAGCTGTGCAATGTGGCAACTCTGCCATCTTAGAACATCTTGTACTGAATTTCTTCAAACACATCCGGAGGCATTATCTATAGCATTTTTAATGTATGAAGTTTAAGTGATTTTGGGTTTATGTCTCCATTGCTTCCTAAAAAAGAATTTAGGCAGCTGGGAAAAAAAAATAAGCAATAAGTAAAATTGAAGATAAAAACATAACAAAGGCAATCTGAAGGCAGTAGAGAACATAGATACCATGAGTCCTATAGGAGTCATGGTATCTATGTTCTCTAATGCCTTCTGATGAGCTGAAATCTATATCTGGACTTTGATCTTGGTACCAAGATCCAAATCTAACTCAAAAGAGTTAGAACATTTTAATCTAATAGACCTGTAAATTTCACAAGTTGAAATTAAAACATGTGATGTAATTTTCATTGTTATTAGATAAATATTACTAAAATTAATTCTGTAAAAGCAGCATATGTTTGCTTTGAACTGATAAATCTTCATGATGGACTCACAGAGAGCTGTCAATTGAAGTAGATAATAAATACCAAGCAACCTCCTGTGTTTTTCAGGTTTCTATTCTTTAAGAGTGATAGGGTTCTGAAGAAAAGACCAATCTTTTAATGTTCTCAACTGTGCTACTCATCTTGGAAAGCAATTTACATGAATTTAGCCTGTGGTCTCTCTGACAGTCATGCATAAAATTGAGACAGGATGAATGATCTCTGTATTTGGGAAGGGCTGTCTATAGGAGAGTCCCCGGGCAAAGGTAGAACAATTGCTTCCCCAGACTTAAAATGTAACTTAAAGCTTTGGTGATGTTGCCATGTCATGTATCATATGGATGGTAAATTAACAGCATGAGTTCAAATCTTGGAGAAGCATCATTATGTGAATTTAGCAGAAAGTAAAAAATATATTTTTGATAGGCATATGAGAAGAAGATATCTGTGTATTTTGTCAAAAAGAGAAAGAAAAATAAGGAACAGAGATTTTGTAGGGAAAAAAGCTATCTCCCAAAGAATGTTGGCATCATTATTCAATTGGGACTTACGGTTAGTTTTTGACTTATTATTCATATTTTAAAGAATTATCTAAGTATGTGCCAGCTCTATCCAAAACATATGAGCAATATTGGCTCCTACTGTGACTAGAAATATGAAAACAGAGTGCCTGTTATGTAACAGCCACTGTTCTGTGATCTGAGAGCACAATGATGAATAAGGCGTTCTTGCATTTAGATGTTCAAAGTCAAGTACGAGACAAATAGATCATCACAATACAATGTGTTATATACAAATAATATGTGAAACTGAAGATCAATCCATTTTTTCTGGGAGTGTATGATTTGGGCAAGAACAGTCAGAGGCTTTTGGTGGATAAAATAATAATTGCTTGAGGATACTTGAGCTAGAGTTTGAACCATCAAGAGCTGCTCACCGGGACAATGACGCAGAAGGAAGAAATCTGCCTTCTGGATAAACACCTAAAACATAAGGGGATGGGACCAACTGTTGATGTGAAAAGTGAGGGGAAATTGACTGAAGAAAATGCAAAGTTGGTTGGGACCAGATAGTAAGAATCCTGAAGGACCTTGTATATTAGATAGAAATGCTTTCAGCACAAGTACCAGTGACCAGTGGCTTAAGGGGAAAATGGCCTGTGTTAACTCCCATAGCATCCAGTCTGGAGGTAGGCAGCTCCAGGTGTTTTGCAACTGTTCCATGATGCCACAGATGACCCAGGAAGTCTCCATCTGTCTAACTCTCCCCTTCTGCTCCCCTTGATGACTTTTTCCTTATCGTGATCTATGACATTTTGGGCATCATGCCTTTGCAGACATTTTCCGCTAGTTGGTCAAAACTGGGAAACATGTCCTCTGGACCAATTATTGTGTGAGGGGAAATGAATTTCCATGAGCTTAGAGAGGGCTCTTTTTTTCTTAAATCGGGGGGCCTTTGACTTGAATCTGGAAATTAAATCATCAGTCCGTGTTCAGAGATGAGGGGAATGATGTTGCATAAGCAATGGGCAGTATCTGCCACACCATGGTTAGGTTTTGAGTGTTATTTAGTGGACATTTTATATCCATTTAAATATTTTTTAAGATAGGTGTAATGTAATTCAGTTTTCATCACAAAAGATCCAGCGATGACTCTAAGTCGTCAAGAATGGTTGACTGGGAGGCAGTCAATACAAGATATAGAACAAGCTTTAGGTGAGAAAGTCAGGACTCAAAAGTTGATTCTGTGCTCTGGGATATCTAATTGAGAATATAGTAAACAGCTGCAAGTACAGGTCTGGAGTTGAGACTTATTGGTACTGGAGACTGAGCCTAGAGACTTTTGGAGTGGTGAGAACCCTAAGACTGGGTGATTCTCAACTAGAAGGGCAGGATACTGAATCTGGAGGGGGAATCCAGATTCCAGATTCAAAGTGTGAGCAAAGGAAAAAGAACCTGTGAGATCAACAGAAATGGAACAATTAGATGTTCCACATGTAAGCTTTTACTGAACACTTAGTAAGTTGCGTAAAAATAGGTCAGCTGTGATATGTCTTGGCACTTTGAAATGAATCTTTCAAGAAATGCAGAGTGCAAATATAATTTATAGCATACTTTTACTTTCTTCCACTGCAAACTCCTGAGGCCACTCTTATGTTTTATGGCATCTAAAATCTTCTTTCCTGGTTTTTTCAGCTCTGTTTGTAGAGCAGTAAATGGTCTACTGAACAGGGGAAATGACATAAATATCTTCAACCCCTCACGCTCTTCATCTTAGATTATGAAGGAGGCAGACAGAAGGGGAAGAAGAAAAGAGCTCTGTTACACCTTTAATAAAGACATTTTTGTATGCGTATTGGAAGAAATAGGATGTATAAGGGCAAATGTCAAGTCATATAGATAATGCTAGTGCAAGTTAGGGATTCTTATGTGAAAGCAAACCTGTCAACATGAACACTCAAAAGAGCGTTTCAATTACTTGAACTCCCAAATAAACCATTGCAAGTGTATCCATCGAGGGGCTACCCTTATACCAGTTTTGAGGGAGAAAAGGAGAATAGGAAAATGTTTGTTATGTTTGTAGTTTTTATTTTTCTGTAAAGAAAGATCCTAAAATGTGCCAATTCTGTACTAGAAAATGTCAGTTCCACTAGCAAAAATATATAAAATGAGACTATCCGAAGTTCCCTCACCTTTTGTGTTTGAAACAAATGATGCACCCCTTCAAGAATACTCCTCAGTGAGATGGCCTTGGTCCAGAAAAGACAAATAACCAGTGAGGAGAGCATTTTGGAATGAAAGAGAGTTCAGTCAGAATTTACTCTTTGTCCTTCCCTTCACACACTGTCTTCATTATCGTTTCCTTGCCCGCGGGCCGCTGGGCCACTCAACTACGAATCCCCCACGCGAAACTCTAGAAATGCAACTGACAAGCCTCCTTCCTGAGCAGCCAAGGGACCCAGCTCCACACCCGACACCCCAGAGGAGGGAGGGGTTCACCCGGTCCTCCTCGTGAATTCCCCCGACCTCTGCCAACTTTCTGCCTCTGTTTTTTTCTTTCTTTCACACACACACACACACACACACACACACACACACACACAAATGCTACCAGTCACAGACTCTTGCTTTACAAGAAGTAGTTTAGCCCCTTGAAATGGTTGTTCCTTACAGCTCTTCTGAGGAATGGAGGAATTGCTGAAGTGAAGCGAGGGGATGTGTCAGGAGATCTCAGTTCTAATTAACGGAGCCACTGGTTGCTGTGGTCTTTATTAAAGGCACAGTTGTTTAGTAAATCAGAGATTCCCCAGAGGGTGATTCTTGAAGGAGGTGGAGGACTGGAACCCACATGCCCAAGAAAATAATGGGAAAAAGCAGAAATTATGCAAATAAATATAGTACTAACAAAAATTCAGATCTCCACCACTGAATCAATCAATCCATGGTTTCCAAGCAGCTTATATCTAACTCTGCAGTGGTTTCTGGGGGAGAAAGATGCACACACACAGATGCACACACAGATGCATACACACATACACACATGCTTGTACACACACACAGCATGTACTATATAAAACAGGTTCTGCCACTCAAAAAATCTATACTTCTTTATGACACAAAACTATTAACCATAAATTAATTAATTAGGTCATAATTAAATATATTATATTCATGATTATATATTATTGTTTACTATATACTTAATATCATTCAGAAAAGAGAAAATTAGTGTGGCTTGAAAAAGGATAGAGGGCTTAATGGGAGATATTGAGTTTTAAACCAAGATTATAGCAGGTCTTTAAAAGTTCGTTTATTATTATTATTGAATAGGAATAGATAGAGAACTTTCCACATGGGTGAAGAAGGTGGACAAAGGCTGAGGCAGACCTCTCCAGGTGCCCTGGCCAGGCCAGCCTGACTGAAGAAGTATTTTTGAAAGTAAACTCAGAAAGTTTTGGCTTAATCCTACATAGAACGATCTTAAAAGACCTCAGCTTCTGTGTGTCCATCCTTGTGTTTTTCTGCTGTTCTGAGAAGGCCTGCCCTGGGCTGCAAGCTGAGATGCCTAGAACATAGGCAGGTAGCATTAGTGAGTGAATTAGGAGGGGACCTCCTTCAAAACAGGCATGTTTTAACTGCACATTTCATACATAGGCGTCTTCTTCACTCCACCCAGAAAATAATTGCCCCATTTTTTGAAACTTGAAGCCCTTTTATTCTAAGTTACACATTTCCATATTTGTTAGAAGCTTAGACATGGAAAAATATTTCTTCATTGCAA